AGAACCCTGAAACAACCTCTGGGCTGATCTAAGTCAGGGCACAGCTAACTCAATTGTTGTATTAGAACTTCACTGAGGGAGAAAAACCGGAGAAAAACCCTCAAATTGAGGGAGACACAAAGGTAAGGCTCATGATAAAATACAGTATTACGAGTTTAATTATACATATTTTGTTTACATATGTTACAAAATGTTTAGAATGTATCTGGATATAATTAGAGCAATGCAAAGGGTTTACTGAAGGTGCAAGGCTGAAGTAAAAAAACAAATTTGAATGGGCAACTTATAGTTCGCATAATATTGAAAATTACAGTTAGTTAGTTATAATTATAATAATTTATGTCGGTTAATTTAGAATATTTTAACCACAAATAATCATAATAGACCTCCTCGGCTTGGGCACACTCGGGCGTAATGCTTTCCTATTTCAGACCATGTGTCATTCCCTTGAGTATCAATTCTTTGTTTAACAGTTCCCCTCTGTTGCACATAAGACATATGAATATGGATACAACTCAGAAAATAATCTTATTCTCAAGGGAATGACACTTGGTCTAAAATGGGCAAAATATTATGCCTGAGCCAAGGTATATTGATGTGTTTAAATACCTTTTTTGGATTTTGCATAAACTCCTGCATACTTCCACAGACTTCTGCTGAYGGCAGAATTGATCTTCATCACTACATACACCTTGAAAAAAAACTTTTCTCCTGATGGAAGCCCAGATACAGTTGCCGACGTAGTCTTGAAACTATCTCTCGCAGGATAATACACAACATTATCTCCACATTGCTCGGCACATTTTTTATCCTCCTCATCCTTACACTTGAAACAGTCAATGGAGTAGGTGAACGACATGTTAATGTCCTTAATGGCAGGCCAGGATATCAGAACTGCAGTCGAATTCAATGTCGTAGCATTGGCAAATGCTGGACCATTTGGCAAAGCTGTTTTGAAGATAAAAAAAGTTTTCAGGTTAGAAAGAAAATGTATAATATTGACAGCTTTGCACAGCACTGTTTTTGTTTTGCTTTTTGCTTTTTGTTTTCATTTATTTATTATTTTTT